AGGCAAAAGGCCACGGCGCAGTCCTCGCAGCATCCGGTGGCTTTGCTTGTGCAAGCCATCCTGTTGGTTGCTGGGTTTAGGCAGGCGCAGGCATTCCCCGCTAGACTGTCTTATGGTCTTACTCGGCTATTGCTCTGGCATGCTTGTTAATGCTGCCAAGAAGGACATACTATCTAAGCCCCCCGGCCTTAACAAAAACGCAAGCCGACAGCCGAAAGCCGGAAGATCCTCCGTCCCAAAACCAAAATCGAAGACCGCAAAAGGTGGGATGCAGGTAGGTCGGATTACGGATCCATCCCAACGATTGAGCCTTTTGACAAATAGAGGGAGTGTAAGCCTCGTCAACAAGGAGAGCGTCGACTGCTGGCGACACTATGTGGCTGCTGTGGGCGTCGCGCACCTGGGGCTTTGCAACATGCATACAAGAGAAGTCCGAATAATTTCGCACCCTTATTAATCCCTTCAGCCTGTCATGAGAAGACTGACAATCACGCGAGAGCACAATGGCGATGCTCTCAACTCGTCATCGTACACACAGGGTTGCGTGTATCCATGTCCAGCAAGATTTCCGAAAAGAGCTCACAGTAGTGGTGAGGAAGCCGGAGCCTTCAACGAAGTCCAGTCTTGTCTTTCGGACACTACAAGAGAATCAGCCTGCCCGGTGAGGAGGATGCTGATTATCATAACCGGCATGGTGCGGACGGCGACGCTGAAAGTAGCGACGCACACATGGTGAAGATGCCGATGAGTATGAGGAAACCTAGGATGGCTTTGGTGGCCGTTATGCCCACAGCAGTAACAACACTGCCGACGACAGAAGCGGGACTCAGAAAAGCTACAACACATGACGGTAAAACACATTCTTCCTGCAAAAAGGACTGTCCAAGATCCTCTCCCTTAAACCCCTACAAGTTCCGTACCAAGGAGGCTGAAGCCCCTGCTTCCTGCAGTCATCTCGGAGCTGCTGCGGCTCGGGGCGCAGCTGTGCCTCTGCTTCGGTTTCAGTCCGTGCTCGGGAGTTGGCGGGACTTGGGGGTTCAGTGTGTAGTGTAGGGGTTGGTAAGTTTGCCTTGCAGCACGTCGGCAAGCCAATTTTGCTGTGCAGCTATCACGCGGTTGACCGCCTGTGGATCAGAGATGCTTTCTCTTGGCATGCATGCAGTGACAACAGAAATTGAGGCAATCACGCCTTAACATCGGGCCTGAAAACACAACTAAGCAGAAATCTTTGCTGCCGAAGTTGCTGCCATGTTGAACCTTGCTTGCTGGATAGCCGTGGTGTCCGGCCAGGGTCTATTGAATCCTTGGGAGGAGATTGAGGAGATTTTGGCGTTCATGTCCACCCCCCCTCCCGAGCCGGATGCAGCGCAGCCGGAACCCGCTGAGACTGTTCAGATGCTGCCCTGCTCTGATGATGAACGTTTTCCGGCTGCATCATACGTCAAGACCGAGGCGGATCTGAACAACGATCCGTTCTTGTATTTTCCTTTCCTCAGCGGGGCGGTTGATAAGCCGGATGTTTCGGGGATCACACCCTCGCTGTCCTGGCGCGAACCGGGCCCGGGCCCCAAAGTGTCCCTGGACGCAGCCAGGCAGCAGATTCATGTCAAGCTGCCAATCCATATTTTGGTGACGAAGACCATTCACACCCACCGGCCTGCGAAAGATGAATACCACACACATTGCCACAAGAGGAAGGAGGCGCATGACTGCAGGAGATTTTATTGCGTTTGGCTATGGGAATGTGGCACATGCACAAAAAAAGTGGAGCATTGTCACAAACGTCTTGAACGAGACCGCGAGGAAACTGGCTGCAACGGAGACGCACGTTTCTCCGTGCAGATCCAGTTGACTGCTTCAATTACCCTGTCGGGCACATCAGACGAGTTGGGCTGGAAGGAGTTGCGCTGGACCTCAACTGAAGAGCCGAACGTTTCGAGTGGACGTTGCTTGCATTTCCTGCCAGAAGTTCGCGACTTCAATGTTGCACCCGTTGTCCAAGATATCCAGGAAAGATCAAGCAGAAGCTGGAAGCGCACGCATGTCCTTCAAAAAGTTAAGCTGAGCCACCGCACCCGTCTGTGGCTGCATTTCAAGCAGCCTCAGCTTCTCAAGGTGTCTGGCACACACGTTGTGGCAGGGACAGTTATGGCTTGCATGCAATCAGAACATTCCAGGTTCCGTGTCGCCAATCCACGCGGGCACGATTTGCCACAACCATCCAATGGGGCAGTTCTGTTGTCAGTTTCGTTGCTGGATGGGTTATTTCAGGAAGAAGCCCATCAATTGAGCGACTCGGCCGTGGTCCGGAACGTGACTTTTCGACATGCCCATCTGCAGGACCGTCTGCACATCGGCAATGTCCATCTCCAAAGGTCAGTTTCCCAAGAGCGTCCAAGTTTGGACCTGACCATTGCCGACTCCAATTTAAGCGCTGAATGCAGCGGTCGTCGCCAGCCACTGCTGGAAGCTTCGCTACAGCAGCTACGGGGCAGGCTTAGTGTAGAGGCTACGTTGCCTGGTGAAGGCTTACTGATTTATGCTGCCTTCGGTGATACGCCGCAAGTGAATGGCTTTCTGTTGCAGAGTCCCAGCGTGCCACTCTCGCAAGCTGCCATGCAATCCCATGCCACATATGTGCTTTCATTGTTTAGACGCAGCATAAATCGCAGGCTGCAGAGTTTTGGTTTGATGGTTCCGCACAACTTAGCACCGTATATCCCGTGCAAGATGAATGAGGGAAGTTGCCAGAATCTAGGCGTCAGTTCCGTGAACGGCAAGGAATATATCGAGTTTGCAAGCGTGGAGACCGAGCCCACCGAGCTTGCAGTGGACAATTTTGCAGCCGGCATTAGCAAGCCTTGCCGAATGTGTCACTGGATAGCAGAGCTGCTTCAGTGCCGATGCCGTGCTGGCTCACAGAATGTGATGCTGCTCGCGGGTCTCGCGATCTTGGTGATGACACTCATGGCAGCCATTGCCGCGATGAGCGATTCAAACATGTATCTGGGCTCCTGGTTGATCCTTTTGGCCCTCTCTATGAGTTGGTGCCGCGATGGTCCCTTTGGCAGGTTCGTGGTTTCAGCACTTGGGGGTCTCTCAAGTGAGGATGGTGAGGCTGCGGCCCGTCAGGCTGCAGTGAAAACGAAGCTGCGGCTGTGGAACGAGACCGCTTTTTACGTGACATTGCTGGAACTTCTGGCAGTGACAGGTTGGATAATTTTGAGATGGCTTCTGTCACAGTGCTGTAGAAGATGGGCAAACTCTGTTGAGACCACGCGCAAGCTTGCCTACATGTGCTTCAGCACGCTTGTTTGCCTTTCCCAGTTCACCCTGCTGGTTGCGTTGCCAATGTCCACTTTTCTGGGAAGCGAGCTTTCAAAGCCCCATGAAGCAGAACCATGCGCAAATGCTATGATGCTCCTCTCCGGACAGACGAATGCAACGCTGGAACATCCTGAGGCTACTTTGATGAGCTGCGGCTTTACGGCTGTGTATGTCTCGTACATCGGACTCAACTTGGTCTTTTTCTTCCTGGCCTTGCCTCCTGGCATCTTCATGGGCATCATGATGTTCTTCACCGTGATGTGGAGTGAACGTCGGACCAGTTACATGGCAGACCTGGCAACTCTGTGTCTTCTTGTCACAGAGCTAGTGTCGTTTGCATCCATTCTGGGGCCCTTTGTGATCACTTATCAAATACTTGGTGGGAGTATGGAATGGTGGCTTGCATGCGGTGTCGTTGGAGTCTTCCGTCCACTGTTCGCAGTGCCCGCCTGCTTGCTGATGAACCGCTTTGCGGAACCTCGACGGCCAGTTTTCTTGATCGCCTCAATCAGCCTCTCGTATCTGGGCTTGTCGTTTATCGGAGCCGTGATCTTCTGGAAGTCCTTCAATGTGGCCCTGGAAGCACTGAGCGATGCAGCGCAGCGGACTGCTGTGGGGGGTGACTTGAGTGGTTATTTCGCTTGCACGATGTACTGCAGCGTCGCATGGTTCCTTGCCAGCAGCACGTTCTTGGCGCTCGCAGATGTCACGCGCAACGGCAGTCGGCACATTCGGAGCGTAAGATCTTGGGTGCAAGGCAAGTCTGGGATCTTGATTGCAGCTGTTTGCAGGGGTCTGGGTGGGCGTGGTTATGAAGCGGCGGAAGCGGCAGGGCGCAACATGCAGCACCTGCCGACTCAAGCATCGGGCACCACTTGGCAAGCAATCTGGAAGGCCACTTTACCCTGGATCATATTCGCCCTGGAGATGGATGCCTTGGTCTCGCTGCTGTACCATGCCTTCAAGATCGGGTGGTTAGGCAGGGACTTTTTGTGGCGATGGCTTCGAACCCACCCACTTTCAGGGCTGTGCATATAGTCATCTAGTTCAGCTGCGCATACCAACAACACGTTTGGAATCGGCATGAGCAAGTGACAGATTGCTAGCTGTCCTGCCGCTGTCTAGCTCTTGGCCAGCTTTGTGGCGCTTTTCTGCCACTGGCCACTTCCGATGTGTGTCCAGAGTCACAACAGCTTTGCACAGTGCGTTTCACAGTCAACACATCTTGAGACGTGCGTAGAAGTTGTTGGTAGATTCTAGTTTCAGGAGAGGTCCATCTACTCCTTGCAAGAGCACCGTCAGCTGAATGTTGCCGAACGCACACAAGTGGGGGAGATTTCCGGCGCAGTTCGAAGTCTGCGTACATGTTGCACTGCTGTGCTTGCTTCTTGATGATCAATTCGCCAAGTAGTGCCGCAATGATATGTGCTTCTTGCATGAAGGGTAGAGAGGATGGGGCAGTTCTCGGACAGACCTACAGTAGTCTCTGCTACCACTGTTTGCCACCCGCTGTAACTCCTGCTGCTGCTGCTGCCGCTGCTGCTGCGGTGCAGTAAGACTTCTTGTTTAGCCTGGCGCATGTTGGCGAAGCTGCTGTGATTTCACCATCAGCATCGCTGTTGCCCCTTCTGGCAGGTGCGGAAACCACTTTATTTGAGTATGAGGTGCAGAGCATGACTCTTTTGCAAGCCTGGCTGTGGAGACAGGATGAGACTTTGAACGCCGGTCTCCAAAGCCTTCCGAAAGTCGAGTTGGGAGCCGGGCGCATCACTTGGAAAACGGCCACAGTGGTGTTGGTTCTATGCGTTGTCATCAGTTGGGCAATCTTCCGCTGTGTCAGGCCTCGAGCCAAGCGAGCGCGGGAAGACACTGAAAATAACCTGCAGAAGCCATTGCTGAGCACAGAGGTGGATGACAGGCCGTCGCAGGCTCCTGCAAGCAGCTACAAGGACCACGAGGATGTGCCAAGGGCTGATGACAATACCACGCATGACTACCGCAGGGAGTTCCTATTGTTTGGACTCGCGCATGGAGTTTTGGCTTTCGTTCGGCAACTTTGGCTGAGAGACAGTCTTCCACATGCATGGGGCATCTTGCAGACTGATGCCACACAAGAGTGGGGACAGGCAAATTTTCGTCGGTATTTGGTGCAGCGAGGCTTGCGCGCAGGCGGGCACAGAACGGTGTTTGATGCTCCGTTTTTGGAGTATGACTGGTACTCATCGCTTTCTTTGACACTGCAAGCAGTCTTCTTGTTCCTGATGCTCCTGGCCTTGATGTCGGAAATTTGCAGCTGGAAGGACATATCTCGTGCTTGGAGTTTTCTAGGAGCGGCAGTTGCCGTGGCTTCAGCTGTGAGCATACTCATTCCCAACTACGCCCAGATGACTCAGCTGCCACAGTACTTCAACCACTGTGGTCAGGACTTCGATGCATTCATGCAGTTCATGGTGTCCGGAGTCTTGGGAATGATGTTTGCTGTGCCGTTGGGTTTGCAAGTCTTTGGATTGCTCGTGGCCATTCCAATCGCAGCTGTTCGGGGCATCTGGTTTGTAATGGCATGGGGCGGGATAGGCTCCCACATGCGGCATGTGCTACAAGCTGCCATGTGGCTGCTGGCCTTGTTAATTCCCTTTGTCACCATCTTTCCTCTGATGTTCTTCAATCAGCTTACAGAGGATGTGGAATCGCATCAGATTCTTCTTGCATTTTGGTGGGTTCCGTCTCTGCTCATCGCGTATATGAGCGCTGTGACGCATGAAACATGGTTCTACTTCATGTGGCTTGCTGCATACATCGGACTGTTCACAGACTTCTTGTGGAGACAGGCCGCGCTATTCAACATCGACATCCAGACAGTTGTTGCTGATCTTGACATTCCGTGGCTCTGGTCTTTGATGCACGCAAATTTCTGCTTCACTAATGTAGTGATTACAGACATCATTCGTAAGGTTCTACCAGATTCGCCGGCAAACAGTCCAGACGACATGGAGCCCTCACAGCCGCCCTCACCGCGGATACAAGAGCAGGAGATTCCCCTGGTTGCCTTGGCACTTCCGCGCCCAGCTGCGCCATCAGCAGTTGAGTTTGGTGGTATGACTGGGCTTGCAGAAGCGCGCACGGTGGCAGGCGTGTCTGTCCTCAAATTCCAGAGTGAAGCGCAGATGCAGCAAGCCAGCAGGCAGGCAGGTGGTTTTTGCGACATCGTACCCCTGACCTCCCTCGTGAGCGTGAGGGGGCCGCATTTCGACAACACTGAACCTTGATGATGGTGTTCTTGTGCACCGTAGACGGAGGCCCAGCTTCGGCCAACCAAGACTCGCTTTTGTCAGGTAGCATTGGATGCTCCTGCAAGCACGCGCAGCACAAGTCTTGCGTGATGATCTTCCCTGGTCTTGTGGCCTTCAAGCTGCCTTGCGTGTCGCAGTGCAGTTTGGATATGCGCGGTTTGAGCTTGCACTATGTCGTGCGCTGCTCGAGCTCCATCATGCAGTTGTGCCGACGTAGATGTCATCCCTTTAAAGTTTTGTTAGTTCATTTGGCAGGTTGTGCAGCATGCGCAGCAGTCGCATGCTCGTCTTCCCTGGTCTTGGACCCTCGACCTGCCTTACGAGCATGCCGTACATGCCCACTTAGTTCCAGGAAGCCAGCTCATCAGTGCGCAAAACAAGTGTGGCAGTTTTGAAGCATCGCGTCTGCTCCTTCTCATGGCTCCGCCTCCGCCTCCGTCTCATGGCTCCGTGCATAGCATGTATCCCTACCTGGCAGAACTGAGGAAAGAGAAGGCGGCTCGTTCTTTTGAGGCCGGGCCGTGGCAAACTCAGAAGCTCAGGCCATGTGGGACAACAGAGCCGAGTGCGGTTGAAGAGCACGCTGAATCCCAAATCTTGGAAAGCCCAGCATCCCAGATCCCAGCACCGCAAGCCGCAAAGACCCGGAAGCTCAAGCCCCAACGCCGGAAGACGAGGAAACCATGTCTCCCAACGACAGGTTTTGGGCCGGGAGGTCTTGTCCCCTCTGATCGTGGAGACGTGCCGCAGCGCAGCAGAGGTGGCGCGGCTGAGTTCAGGGCAAAGCGTATTGGCACCTTCGTGCTTAGGATTTACAGTAGGGCTCAGCATGTTGTCACAAAGCTCAGGGCTTGGGCAACGTGTTCCTGCTTTCTCCACCAACAGCCAGAGGCAGCGTAAGCCAGCGCAAGACCTAGACAATGGGCATATAGAGTCTCAGAGCACCGGCAAGCGTCAGCGAGGCCCCCCGTCTTGTAGCCGCTGTCGCGCTGTGGAGATCCGAGCCCGCCTCAATAGCCTGCACTGCCGAACCTCTAAACCCAAAGCCCAGCCTAGTTGGTCTTTTTTCATATTCCAATCCTTAAATCCCTCACCCCTAAAGCCTAGATCAACCCCTGAACTCAAAACGCCTAAGCCCACCAGACCGTCCTAACATTGGCTTTCGGATCCTAGATCGCGCAGCGGCCATCTCAGGTGATAGCTTCTCTTCCAGAGCTTCCTACCTGGGAATCCCTGCGAACAGCCAAGGCCGCAGTAGACAAGGCCGAGCTCTTTCTTTCGGTGGGTTTAACATAGAGGTCGGAAGGATGCGTAACGGACGGATCCGACCGCGCAATCACCACCAAAACGCTAGTCTCATCATTGCGGCCTCTGTACTCGGCTTGCGGGTCTTGGGTTTCAGCTTCGAAGCCTTTCACCCTAAACCCTAAAGCCTAAACCCACCTTAAACTCTATAAACCTTAAACTCACCTTAAACCCTATAAACCCTGCACCCGTGCATGCTCCCGGCTCCGGAGAGGCCCGGGCGCCCGAGGATGCGAAGAGCGCCCTGGCGCTCCGACTCGAGCGCTGCGTCCATCAGCTCCAGGCCGCGACGCAGCAGGCGGAGCAAGGGTTTAGGGTTTAGGGT